CACCGTTCGGCCTCTCGTTTATCAATCTTCTTGGATTCCTGCACATGCGCCCGTGGAATTCCTTTTTCGGTCGATTTTGAGTGGGTTGGTGATAGACTGCCTGATTTGATTTGGGAGGGAATCAAGAAGTTTCCTAATTAAGAGGGAACTATTTAAGAAGGTGCTTAATCAAAGGAGAATTGTTTAGAAAAAATTTTAATTACATTTGGGAGGGAATTATTTAGGTCAAGAGATCTAATTTGAATTCAAAATTTGAGAGATAATTATTTATGAAAAAGGATAAATTAATGAGGGATTGTTTAGAAAAGTTTTAATTACAATTGGGAGGGAATTAATTATGAAGATAAATCTAGTTTTTTATTTTTTATTTTTTTTATTTTTAGTAAAGGCTTCTTTATGAAGATAAATCTAATTTGGATTTAAATATGAGAGGGATTTATATAGGGAAAAAGGGCTGATTTTGGAGGGAATTATGGGAGCCTATATAATAAGTCTAACTATGGGGCGATTTCAAATTATGTTTGGAGTTTGCTGAAATTAGATTGTTCTTAGGGTGTTTGGACTTTGGGAGAGCCGGATCTTCCTCTCCAATTGAAGATTCAATTGTATCTTGTTATTTCCTTTCGTAGTTTATTTTCTTGCAATAAAATTACTGTTTTTCACTGATTTTCCATTGGAATCGTGGAGATTTCTTGCTATTTTTGCTCTCTTGATAGGATTTACTTGAAATGTTCAAGTGTTTCCTATCAAATTGGTATCAGAGCATGATTCGGGTACTTATGGCGGGAAAAAAGGTAGAAATGTTGGAATAGGAGATCAGACAATTGAAATTTGATTTTGTAAAGATTTCAGGTTTCGGAAAGCTATTTTCAGCCATCCATGAGAGGATCGATGAGAAATTTGCCATTATAGAGGAGATAATAAAGAAGCTTTTTGAGGGCCAAACCAAACCGACAACATTAGAAGTGAGTATCGTTGACCGGACAAGAAAATGGAAGAAACCTTAATATAGGGATAATGAGGGAGAATCAGAAGGTGAAAATTTTTGGAGAAGAATAGGAGATGCCATCTTTGGAATCACTTCCAAGGAGGGGAAATGGTGAAGGAGTAAGATTTTTGGTGGAATTGCAGAGTTTGGAAGAAAATGAAGATGGGGAGAAGATAGAAGCATCATACATGGTTCAGCCACTCTTACAGAAATATCGAGAAGTGTTCCAGCCAGTTCATGGGTTGCTTCCTTCGCACGAACACAATAATGCTATCTTTTGGAAGGACGAAGTCTCACATATCAATGTTCGTCTGTACCATTCTCCCTAACTCTAGGAGGATGAGATGGAGAGATTGATCAAGGAGATGCTGGAGGCAAAAATCACTCGATCTAATGACAGTCCATTTTTCAGTCTAGTGCTATTAGTCAAGTGCTTCAACAACAATTTCCTTCGTTCCACCTTGAGGACAAGGTGGCATTTTGGGAGGGGAGTATTGATAGACCGACTGATTTGATTGGGAGGGAATTAAGAAGTTTTCTAATTAAGAGGGAACTATTTAGGAAGGTGCCTAATCAAAGGAGAATTATTTAGCAAAATTTTTAATTATATTTGTGAGAGAATTATTTAGGGCAAGAGATCTAATTTGAATTCAAAATCTAAGAGTGAATTATTTATGGAAAAGGAGGAATTAAGAGGAGATTGTTTATGAAAGTTTTAATTACAATTAAGAGGGAATTAATTATGTAAATAGATCTAATTTGAGTTCAAATATGAGAGGGATTTATATAGGAAAAGGGGGCTGATTTGGGAGGGAATTATGTGAGCCTATTTCAGGCTAACTATGTGGTGATTTTAGATTATGTTTGGAGTTTGCTGAAATTAGATTGTTCTTAGGGTGATTGAGCTCTAGCCGGCGGCTAGATATTTGGGAGAGTCGGATCTTTCTCTCCAATTAAAGATCCAATTGTATCTTGTTATTTCCTTCCGTAGTTTATTTTCTTGCAATAAAATTACTGTTTTTACTGGTTTTCCATTGGAATCCTGGAGATTTCTCGTTGTTTTTGCTCTATTGATAGGATTTACTTGAAATCTTCAAGTGTTTCCTATCAGTTAGCTTTACATGGAAAATACACTATCGCGAGGAGTTAGGAATGCATTACGAATTTACTTTGCTTTACCCGGTAACCAACCAAACATGAAAAAAGTGAAAAAGCAAAGCATTTACTATGCTTCGCATTCACTTTTCCTCCAAACAAACTGCCCCTTAGTACTTTTGATAGTCCGATATTATTGCTTTCTTCCAAGAACCAGGTACTATGGTTATTCATAGCTAATGACTATCTGGGATCCACCAAATTGTACCGACACTTGAAACAGGTTTCAATGATGTTCACAATTTATTTCTTGGTTTCAAGAACTCTGTTCCTGATAGGGCCAATTGCAATGCAGCTTTGTCTTTCTTGAGTATTGTTTATACGTTGAAAAAAACAAAGGCGGTCTCTGTAGGTGGCAGGACCAAAGAAACTGAAAATTTTCCTATTGTGGGCCGAAGATTTCTCAAGGAATAAGTTCCTGCATGCTGTAATGAGATTTCTATTAAGGGCCTCTCCTTGTTGTGGTCAGTGAACAAAACAAGGCAAACAAGAATGGGATAGCACCGGGGGCTTGGGCCTTCATTTACGGGCAGCGTTCCACTGTACTGGCGCCAGGATAACATCTAGAATAGAAAGAAGAGGCCTTGGGTGTTGATGTTGGCAGAATCCTAGACTCCTCTGCAATACCTCAATTTCTCTCCTCTCAAGCTTTAGGGGAAGTCCACCCCAAGGAAGAGATATTTCCCTTCTCTTAGATTTCTAAATCTAAAATGAAATGAACCAACTCGCTCTCCCAAAGAAAAAAGAGGTATTTATAGAAACCAAATGATCCCAAGAAACAACAAATTATAGAACTACCCATATTTAAAGAAATAATTAAAAACAACAAATAAAACCAAGGAAATAAAAAAATAAATTGATAAAAACTATTTAACTAAAATGCTTATAGGTAAAACAAAAAAAAATCCTATCATGCTCCTCGGGTAGGGGAAGACTCGTCCTCGATGTTTAGATCCTCTGATCTGAGCTTTCGTAGGATGAGAGGTTGAAAATATTGAAAGTTGCAGAAATGTTCTTATCTTCAGTTATCTCAATCTTGGAAGCATTTTCTCATATACACTTGACTATTTTGAAGCGTCTCTTAGCTTTTGATTTTAATTTAGCAAAATGTCCCAGAGAAAATTGCTCTTTTCGTAAATGTATCCAAACTCGATTCCCCTCTTTAAAGGAAGATGAAATACGAGATTTATTGGCTTGTTTTGATATTGAACATTTTTTAGTGATCATGTTAAGGACACGGTGATGTCATTTTTTTTATTTCCTTCGTCTGTCTTTCACTATCAATATTATATTTGGAATTATTAATTATGGGCGACAAATCCAAATGTGTAATGGAGTTCTGACCATATATAATTTCGAAAGGACTTTTTCCTATTGTTGAATTGACCAGGCTATGATTAACGACTTTTGTTTGCCCATCTGTTTGAGGTTTGAGGATGAGATATGGAACTGAATTAAAGTTTAGTACCTAGTTTTCTTCTAAGTGTTCTAAAAAAATGTCTAAGACACATTATGAATCTTGTGACAGGGAATAAAATGAGTCATTTCAATAGAGTTCTTTGTAAACCACTCTTGAAAGGAATTCTCTTAGGTCAAATCTATCTTTTTTTTCTTGCATCTAAGTATCATCTAAGTATGGTTTATTTTCCCAAGTATGGTCTTTTTATCTTCCACTAGACAATTCTGAATTCAAAAATATATTTAGTACAAATGTGTAGTCTTTATCTCAATACTTGGTTAGCAGAAATGAGAATAAGTTCCTTTTGAAACAAGTAATATTGCTGAGTGATGACAACAACTCTTGATCTCTCAATGCATGGTAACTTGTGAAATACTTCATCATTGAGGTTGATTGGATGATTAGTTCGTCTACCAAAATTTTTTTGATGTTAGGTTACGTTTTATTTAAAATATTTTCTTTAAAATTGGGGTTTGAGACTTCCTATGAGTGTAAGTTCCTTACAGTTAATAATCTTTTTCATTTTAAAATGCATTCTTGATGAAGGTCATCGCCTGATTATGAAATTTTAGTGTATGGGGATTTTAAATGTGCCCTATTGTAGTGTTTGAGCTTCCTAGCATGTAAGTTCATGACTTATTAAATGGAAGTACAAGAAAAAAGGTTAATTGTCTCTTTTATCCTTTTACATACGTAAGCAACGTTGCTTCACTAATGGCTTTCTGATGAAGGTTGTAGTGCATTTATTGTACTTGCGGAATTCACATTATCTTTCATTGCCTTTTCAATATAGTTGGGATTTTTGAAAAGCTTACCTTCAGCAGCTATGGTCTTCAGCTTGAGCAACTTCCATCTGTGAGGCTGGCTTTATTGTTTGATGTAAAAATGCTTTTAGGAATTGTGATTATGAATCTGTCTGTGCACTGATTCAAGTTCCTTTCTCTTTGAACTTCATAATAAGCATTGGAAGCTTAGGGCGTCATAATATAAAAATCATGTGGTACTGAATTGGAAATTTAAAGTTTTTATCTTGAGATTGATAAGAAATTTTATATTATAGTCTCATACCATTAGGGGCTTAGACATGACATGTAAAGTCTGTAACAATGCTGTAACATCCTCACATCAGTAATAGCATAATGATGGGTATTCGGATTTCAGCCATTTATTATTTCGAGTTTGATTTCAGTTTGGCATTATATACCAAACTTGCATGTTAAATTGTTGCAACAAGCTCCAACTCACAAGATTAAAAAGGTTGGTGATTTTTCATTTCTATCACGAATGCCTATTCTATCAATGGAAGAAAGAGTTGAAAAGCCGATTTGCATTGTTAGTCCTTTTTAACTTCTTTAGTTTCATTCTTGCTGACATTGTTTTCCTCAATTTTCTGTGCAGGGGTGTCATATATAGGATTAGGTGCTTCTTGGCTCTCATATAGATTAAACTGTGTTTTCGATGTCGTATGTGTAGCCTTAACTTGGTAATTTGCAGTTTTTTTAACCCTACAACATAGCTAATCCAAGATGTTTGATTGTGGTTACAAAGAACAGTCTATGGATGGGCACAAAGAGCGATTTATAAGGTATGACTATTAATGGCCCAGAAACCTGGCTGATTTTTAGCTGTTCCTGTTACGACTTTTAAACACCCTTTATTTGGAAGCTTGATGGATGCTCTATTATGACGGGACAAATCATGTCACGCTTCACTTATCACTATGATGTCCTTTCCCTGCATTAGTAGGCTTGCCTATTTATTTGCAACTATTATGATATTTGAAAGGTTCTACTGCCATCCTTATATTATATTTTTGTGTTTGAGGTAATTGCATGTAGGCTCACGATTTGGGTGCTTCTGTACATGATTGACATGCATTTGTGCGTATGATTGTAATATTTAAAAAAGAAGGGCAAAATGAAATGCAACTCATGCATTGTGCTTGTGTGCATTCTCACATGAAAACTATGCGCTTTGTATGTACATGCATTTGGGTATTGTTGTAGGTACGCATGCGATGTTAAAAAAGTGAGAGCACACATTAATTATGTAATCCTCAAGCAAATAGAATGGAACTTCAAAGCTTAAAGATTAAGCTTCATGAAGTTAAATTTGAAAATTTTATATTACTATGGTACAACAATATTTAAATATTAAATAAAATGTGAAAAAAATGCAACGGTTAATATCAGTGTTTTAAAAACTGGACTAGACCGGCTGGTCCGACCGGTTCAACCGTGAAGTGTCTAAAGGTCGGTCCAATTCAGCTTGAAAATCGATTTTGTATCAAATCGAGATGAATTAGCCAGAACCGCCAGTTTAACCGGCGAACCGGTCCTGGTTCCCTTGAATCGGGCGGTTCAATTTCTAAAATATTTATATAGTTAAATAAATTAATTTAATATATTAAGTATGAAATATTAAATAATATTATAATTTAACAAATTAATTTAAATTTAAAATGCTTAAATTAAAAAAAAAAAGAAATTTCAACTAACAATTTCACATAGCTCTATCACTCTATGTGAGTTCTTACCCCATCCAAAATCAAAAGTCAATATAAAGTATAAACATTACTAAGAGAAAGTTCCCTAAGTGATGCGGGGCTAAATAAGTTGAAGTTATTACTTAAGTTTACAACAAATACTATATACTTTAAAATAGATTTTAAAATAAATTTTTCTAATGTAAATAACATTTATTATTAATTAATAATTTTAAATAAATTATATATTTGTGATTTATATATTATGTATAAAGAGAACTTGGCATTTGATTAATTCTAGATATTAAATAAATAAAAGTTGAAGATGAAATAGGATTTTTTTAAGTCTGATTGATAAGGAGAATGGAATGAACTGAATCAAGCAATTTTTGAAATTGCTAATTCCACATATATTTTAATTAGCATTCTAGAGAGGTTTAAAAGATAAATGCAAAATATTAACGTGTTCAAAGAGGACTTGAGGTTCACAAATTTCTTCTTTTATTATCTTATATATGTAGGACACACCAATTATTAAAAGTATAGGATACAGATTATGCTTGGACATGATGTTATAAATTTTATTTCTTATAAATAATGCTTATAAATTAGATAAGCTTAATATGAAGAATAATACAAAAATGAGACATCATTAACTTTGTAAGGTTGAATGGTCTATAAAATAGTTGCCTAACTTATGATATTAAAAAAATAAATATAAATTATTTGGTATAACATCAAGATTCAATATTCAATGGCCAACTATTCACCAAAAGGAATAATATGATGTCCTGCTTCGATATGTATGTCTTTGAACTTTAATGAAATCATCATATATATAGGGTAGTTTCCTACCATTTGAGGCTACCTCTTTCCATAAGCAGCGAAAAAGGATTGATTTGAGAGTTGGGGAGAGGGGTGGAAATAGATAGAGGTGGGAAGGACCTAATTATCAAAAAATGGCATTAATGTGGCCAAACTATAGTTATAGGGAAAGAGTTTTCTAAAATAATCATTTTTTTGTAAGAAATCGTAGGCTTGACTAAGAATTTAACAAAATGTGTGAACTAGTTGTTGGTGTTCTAAAACTTGGGTAGGACAATTGCAATATTGCAATAAGAGGAAAAAATGAGAAATTTAATTGCAATGATCATCTTCTTTTGCGTGTCACATTTGAATTATATCGCATCATGTAAAAAAAAGAGAAAAAATATTGCATTATGAATAAATTATAATTTTATAGACCAAGGAGAAAGCGTACCTCATCTTTTAACGTAGGCTCTATGGCGGTAATTTTTTCTTGTCACTGGTAAACTTGTTTCTCAGTTTTTGATGAGAAAGTTTAATCCAAATTCTTCATTAAAAAGAAAAAAAAAAAAAAACATCAGGCTGATGGTTCTTGTTAATTTCTTCATTGCTAGTACCATCCTAAGAGAACCTTATGCCTAGTTTTTGTGTTTTCATTTATTTTACGTCCATTCATGTCTTTACATAGACTATTTGTGATTGCTAATATTTTTTTTCCATTGTCACGCCTGTTTCATTTCTAATAACTTAACTACTTTTATGCTTGCGTCATAATTTTGCAGCTGAGGGATAAATACATTCTCACACATACGACATGCATATTTTCAATAGGAAGAACTATTTATTTTTCCCCACTTTTGTAAATATGCTAGCACTTTTCATTTTGACTAGTTTACTTCACTATTGCTACATTCTGAATTTGGCTCTCATGCTTAGGTTGGAAGAGTCGAGTCCAAGTTCTTATTTTCCTTCTGATACAAGAAAAATGAATAAGAGTAGTTTCCATGTTGAGGGATTTCATCATGGTCCAAGCAACCCGACTAAATCATTTAGAAGAGGAATAAAAAGGGGATCTGAAAGGCTCCAGTCAATTAAGAAAACTCTTAGGTTTGGTAGCACCAAGGGAATTTTTCCAGAAGATCTTAAAGTTTCGGAGAAGAAAATTTTTGATCCTCAAGACGAATTTCTTTTGACAATGAACAGGCTTTTTGTAATATCATGTATTCTTGCTGTGTCTGTGGATCCGTTATTTTTTTATCTCCCAGTATACGACCAAGATTCAAATTGCCTCAATATAGATCGAAATCTTGCATACATATCAACAACTATGCGGACATTCATAGATTCATTCTATCTTCTTCGCATGGCTCTTCAGTTCCGTACTGCTTATATTGCTCCATCATCACGGGTATTTGGTAGAGGTGAACTTGTGATAGATCCTGCACAGATAGCTAATCGTTACTTGCAGCGGCACTTCATTGTTGATTTCCTAGCTGTGTTGCCACTTCCACAGGTCTGAATAAACTTGTATATGTTTATGAATGAGTTTTTATTGCAATTCTTGGTGGCTAAGGGCTCAAGTTTTAACTTTTTTGCGCAACTAGAACAATGACTTTATTCTTGTAAGCTGCACTTATAGAAATGGTCCAAGCAACCCGACACATCTTATTGCTGAAGGCTAAGGTTTAACTCAGCAGTTCTTTAATGTAGTTTTTGCCTATTGCTAAACAACCCGACAAATATCATATAGTATTGCAATACTTTACCAGAGTTCAACATTAAATACTAGTTTTTTTTATTCTTTATCCTTAAGAGTATTGTTACACACACACACACACACACACACACAGATATATATATATATATATATACATACATACATACATACATACATATACATGAAGCATACTTGTCATTGGCGCAAAATGGCATGCGCCATGACTCATGACATGGCGCACGTACGGCTCCAGCTGTATGGCATGACACACATGTTCAAGTTGGCACGCGCCATTTGTGCAATGGCGCATGACACAAACAATTTGAATTTTAGGGAAATTTTAATATAATTATAAATAATTGTTAATATTTATATATTTTAATTGTTAAAATAATATAATAATTAATTTTAAAATTATTTGATATTATTAAAATAGTTTAGTTAGATTTTATTAGACTTTATTTAGATTCTGCTCCCCTAACCCTTATTTAGGATTTTTCCTGTTTGAGGAATAGTATTGCAATTATTTTAGTAGAAATTTTGGATGAACTTGAAGCTCACTTTAATGGTTTGGACTTTGGACAACAAACATATTCAACCAAGCCTTACCCAACTTGATTTATACTCTAAAATAGGTATATATACATATACATATATCTTTTTAAATTTAGAGAATTGGAGGAGGAAAAAGTTTAATTTTATTTCTCAAATTCGTTCCTATTTATAAATCTATACAAGATGTCTTAATAAAGAAACAAATAATTACAGAATCATACATAATTACTCTAATATTATCCTTCCTAAATTAGCCACCTAATATGGAAGGAGATCGACGCAATCCAGGTGAGCCTTTCATGGATCCCCATCCTAGCCGTGAGATCAAAATGCCAAGGGATGACGGAGATTGGCACAATCCAAGTAAGCCTCTCATGGATCCCTATTCTAGCTGTGGGATCAAAATGCCAAGGGATGGTTTGGATTTCACACTCCCCCTCAATCTGGGGAATACATGTCTGCCATTCTCAGCTTGGTAATCAGTCCTAGAAATGTAGAGTTGTCAAGTCCCTCGATAAGAATATATGCAAGCTGATCTTTTGATGAGACATGATAAATACATATATGACCACTGTCTAGTTTCTCCTTTATGAAATGTCTATCCACTTCTATGTGCTTGGTCATGTCATGTTGAATCATATTGTGAGCAATGATGATTGCTGATTTGTCCTTTCCACTTGATCCTTAGGTCTTCTAGAATCATCTTGATCCATAGTTTCTCACATATTCCCAAGGCCATAGCTCTATATTGTGCTTCTGCACTGGACCTTGGCACCACATTCTGTTTCTTGATTCTCCATGTAACAAGGTTTCCTCCAAGAAATGTGAATATCATGAGGTAGATTGCCTATCTACTGGTGATCCTACGTAATTTGCATCAGTATATGCTTCTAAGGTTATTTCACAATCTCTTTTGAAGAGAATCCCTTTACCTGGATTCCCCTTAAGGTATTGTAGTATTCTGTCTAAAGCTTGCATGTGAGTCTGCTTTGGATTTTGAATGAACTGGCTGACTATGCTTACAACAAATGCTATGTCTAGTATGGTGTAGGAAATGTAGATCAATTTTCCCACAAGTCTCTAGTAAGTTCCCTTATCTGCATTTAAATATTCTTTAGCTTCTCCTAATTTGAGATTTGGTTTTACTAGTATTAGTGTTGATTTACAAGCTAGCTTACTTGTTTCTTTAAGAATATTATTAATATAATTTTGTTGGAAATGAATATTCATCTGCTATGGTGGGCCACTTCAATTCTAAGAAAATATTTTAATCTATCAAGATCTTTAATCTCAAATTTCTTGGCAAGACATTTTCTCATAATCACTTGTTGCTTTTCATCATTCCTAGTTATGATAATATAATCCACATAAACTAATAAAATTGTAACTTCCCCTGAGTCTGAGTGCTTGAAAAATAATGTATCCCCTTGGTTCTGCCGATAACTATTAAGTAGCATTATTTTTGAGAATCTTCTAAACCAAGCTCCAGGTGATTGCTTTAGCCCATCTAGAGCCTTTTTTACCCTACACACTTTGTTACCACCAGATTTCTCTTTGAATACTGGTGAAATCTTCATAAATATTTCTTCCTCCAAATCCTCATGTGGCAATGCATTTTTGACATCCATCTTTTCCAGATACCAGTTGTAATTAGCTGCTAGTGAGAGCAGGATCGTCACCATGTTCATCTTGGCCACAGGTGCAAAAGTTTCCGAATAGTCAATGCTGTACGTCTGAGTGTACCTTTTTCTCTAGCAATCTTGTCTTATATATTTCCAATGTACCATCGACTTTATATTTCATAGAGAACGCTTATTTGCACCTGACTTTTTTTTTCTACTGGTAGGTTGGTGATCTCCTAAGTATTGCTCTTCTACAGGGTTTGCATTTTATCTTTCATGGTACTTTTCTAATTTTTATCTAATAGGGCCTCAAAAACATTATTAGGAATATGAGTATCATTTTGTACAACTAGAAAATTTTTGTATGAAGTTGAGAAGTTATCGAAGGATGCAAAGTTGGTTATAGGGTATAAGGGAGGTTTTTTTTTGGTGAACTTGTGTTTACCTCATTTTTAGGATATAGTTCAATTTTTTTATAATCTGCTCTAGAGCAGAGTTTGGATTTGTACGCCTGGAATACACTTGCCAAAACTTCCTGTTATCCTTAATAGCTTTGTCCTCAGTTTTCCTGGCTTTGATTTTATGTTTAGGTGAATTGGTTTGAGGTGGAGTTAGAAGGTCAAGAGGGGCAAGCTCACTTTCATCATCTTCCTTAATTTCAATCTCCCCCTAAAGATGAGGTTTCGTGAAATTAAGTTTTTATTTATCAAAGGTAACATCATCATATACAAGAGTTTTCTTGGTGGAGGGATGATAACACTTATAATATTTCTTGGTGGATGAATATCCAACAAAGATATATTTGAGTGCCCTTGGATCTAATTTTCTTTTATTTTGGTTGTGAATGTGAACATAGGCAGTGCACCCAAAGATTTTGAGTGTAAGATTATTATGGGTTCTGAATTCGGGGTAAAAAGAAGATTGAATATCCAATTGTATTTTTAGTCATAAGATTTTTTTATTTATGAGATATGTGACAGTCGTAAGGGCTTCCCCCCTAGTAGGATTTGAGTATATTGTGGCGGAATAGAAGTGCATAGGTGGAGGCTAAAAGGTGACTATTTTTTCTTTCTGCAATCCCGTTTTGTTGTGGGGTGTGAATGCTAGAAGACTTATGAATGATATATTTTTTTTTTGAAAGTACCATTTTATTAACCCGAATTGATTTTGGATCATGGTATGAAAAATATTGAGGATGGTGCTAACATCAGATTTATTTTTTAGGAGAAAAATCCAAGAGATTCGAGTGAAGCCATCAATGAAGGATACAAATCATTGGACTCTTAAGATTTTAGAGATTTTTAGGGTCCCTAGATATTGCTACTAATGAGGTAAAATGGAGTATTATATCTCTCATGTTTGTTTGGAAAAGAAACTCGTTTATGTTTGGCTGACACACAAGTTTCACAATTAAAATATTTATTTTTCAACTTATGAAAAAGTTTTCGATACATATTTTTTATGGCATCAAAAGATGGATGTCCTAATTTAAAATGGTACCAAATATTGGATTTTTTATTAAACAGGGATAACATAGCATAACAATTATTGATAATATTAAATTTGTTTAGCTCTTCTAGGTAGTACAATCAATCTCTCTCCTTAGTTAGTCCAATCTTCTTCTCCGATCCCTGGTTATGAAATAAGAGTGTCACGACCCGGCCCAGTGAGCTCTAGTAGACGAAGCGGGAACGGATGTCGGAAGTTCAGAACATGAAATTTTTTATAAAGATGCATTGAAGAATCTAAAACACTTCAAAAGGAAACAAAAAGCGCCTCTAAACAACATTCCAAATTATACTAAGCATTTTATATCATTGCATAAAAAGTTTCATAAGTACAAATGTGGCAAAAAGTTCTCATTCATGCCAAACCACCTAAAACCACTTTAAACTACAACTAAAAGAAACATAAAAAGAACCTGTCATCCGATCCTCTACGACTGTAAGTGTACCAAGGACGGTCAGCCATTCCTAGCAGCGGGTTCTCCTAAAAAATATCCCAAAACGAGGGAATGAGCTAGAGCTCAATAGAAAACACTAACTCTAACAACTTCATATACCAATTAAATGAAAATCAACATGTATGTTGAAAGTGAGTTAACTCTTCCATATGTTTATGAAATGTCATGATTATTTTGATAAGTATCACATGCTAGTTGTTATGTATATGCTAAGTGTCACATGCTAATTCATATGTATATCCTTTTAACTGTCATGTCCTTTGTCTCATGAATGTTCTAATATACTTGCTTATTCTTTATCTTATATAATCGTATCGGAAAACCAGAAGTGTACTGATCAGGTACACAAACATATTTTTGGCCATTTATTTTCTTTTTCTCTTTTGCCCTGAAGAGTCATATTGCTTAAAAGAGCCGTATTGTGCTTTTGCACCATATTTGGTACTCCGCTTTCAACATGCACAATCATTCAAACATTCTTTTCATAGAAACATAGAATTGTAATGTAGCAATCTCATACTAATGTGTCTTGCATTTCTATCAAATAATGAGAACATATGCATGAGAAAATTTAATATGCATTACTTCAAATAATGAGAACATTTCATATGCATGAGAACATTTAATATGCATTTTTAAGTGTTAGACATTTCAAA